ACACGAAAACCAATGCGCCTCAGTGTGAGTTTAGGGCGGGACCTTCTGACAAATGGGGCGAGTGTTCAGGAAACCTGTTTAAAAACATGTTGATTCTAATAGTGCAGAAAGTACACATTTCACCTTTAAAATGTATGACTGAATATATGTTTCAGTTTTGATTGATGCTAAACAGCAGAAAACCATCATTAAGAAATGAAAATCTCTTTTTTGCACAATAAAATGCTGCAGTGAATCCAGGATGTTGTTGTAAAGTTAAGCTTGCTAATTGAGAGACAAGGAAACTAATGAAGCAGAATGTAATAATGTGGACGACCCCTGCTGTTCATAAAGGCTAAAACACCCGTAAGCAAAATGTAAAACGTTTTATCCACTCGTACTAAATTCTTTTTCCAAAACTGTTATTTGCAGCAGATCCCTCTCAGATAATCTCCAGCTGGTTTATTTATAGGGTAGAGGACGCCCTCATCTGGCCAAATCTCCAAAAACATACAAGATTTTATGACTGTTGTGATGTTAATTTTTCCAGTCCAAATATCTAAAAATTCTTAAATAAAGATGCCTTTACTAAAGTAGTAAAATGCCATAAGATATTAAGTCTTGTTTTCTGGGACTATAAATCAAAATTATTAAGTTTTAAATTATTTGCCAATGGGGGTATGAAAAATAATCTTGTTTCTGTTTGAATTAACATTATTTTTCTAACCCCATTGGCAGATAATTTAGCTTTTTTTAAGCAACAAATCACTTCATTTTGATTAATATCCCCAGAAAACAAGACGTAATATCTTATGGCATTTTACTCGTATAGTAAATGCATCTTGATTTACAGGACTGGAAACCAGACAAAAATACTAATTTTGAAGACACTCCTCAAAAAGCTTCATATTATGATTAAGACCGTATGCAATAACAGTCCCTCTTTTCAGGGTAGATAACACCTGACCGTGAAGCTTCACCTGAACATCCACAGGTACGTCACACACGTGGGGCTTTTCACAACTCCGATCTCTTTCATCGCTACAACAGTGAGATGTAAAGGAGAGCAAATGCAATCTTTTCTTCTCCCGTTAATCTCATATTTGTCTCTTCTGGATTTTCACAAGAGCTTTGAACAATATCAGAGATCTCAATATGAACACCAACACCACATTCATTTCATGCGTTTTATACTCTTACTGCATGCACTGCAAAAAATCATTTTTACATTGTTTAATATCTAACAATTCTTGTTTTCTGAGAAATGTATCAAACGAGAAAAAAATGTCTGTCAGTGGGGGTCAGAAAAATCTACTTAATTCAAAGGGAAACTAGCTATTTGTGTTTTAGTTTGATTTCTTTTTTAGGAGACACATTATGTTACAAACTCCATTAAATTTCATGAGCTATAACAGAGCAATCCTGAATCCAGATCAAAGCCTTGCTCATCCTCGTCTCCATCGTGAATGTCGTGTATTTCCCAGCTGCTCAATTGACCTCATTACATTCAGTGAAACCAAATGAGTCTGATTGGCTGTTGACTTTTCACATCCAATGACAAGTCCGGCCGTCAGATCTCCAAACGCTCAGTGTGCGCTGTGAAACTGGCCTGGTCCTCACCGGTGTCTCTGGAAGCTCTTCTAGCTCAGACCCAACAGCGTCTCGTGGACATCTGAGACTAATGTTGCATGATTCATCTCCTGAGGGTTTACATTAGGTGTGTTTGACCCCAGATCAGAATAAAAGTTCACAAAAGAGGCATACACTTTTTACTATGGCTACTTTGGGAATGGATTACTTGTTCTGCTTATAGGGCAGGTTTACAATAGCCATATTTACTTTATGCTTCTCATTTAATATATACACTCACTTAAAGGATTATTAGGAACACCTGTTTAATTTCTATCTAATCAACCAATCACATGGCAGTTGCTTCAATGCATTTAGGGGTGTGGTCCTGGTCAAGACAAACTCCTGAACTCCAAACTGAATGTCAGAATGGGAAAGAAAGGTGATTTAAGCCATTTTGAGCGTGGCATGGTTGTTGGTGCCAGACGGGCCGGTCTGAGTATTTCACAATCTGCTCAGTTACTGGGATTTTCACGCACAACCATTTCTAGGGTTTACAAAGAATGGTGTGAAAAGGGAAAAACATCCAGTATGCGGCAGTCCTGTGGGCGACAATGCCTTGTTGATGCTAGAGGTCAGAGGAGAATGGGCCGACTGATTCAAGCTGATAGAAGGGCAACTTTGACTGAAATAACCACTCGTTACAACTGAGATATGCAGCAAAGCATTTGTGAAGCCACAACACGCACAACCTTGAGGCGGATGGGCTACAACAGCAGAAGACTCCACCGGGTACCACTCATCTCCACAACAAATAGGAAAAAGAGGCTACAATTTGCAAGAGCTCACCAAAATTGGACAGTTGAAGACTGGAAAAATGTTGCCTGGTCTGATGAGTCTCGATTTCTGTTGAGACATTCAGATGGTAGAGTCAGAATTTGGCGTAAACAGAATGAGAACATGGATCCATCATGCCTTGTTACCACTGTGCAGGCTGGTGGTGGTGGTGTAATGGTGTGGGGGATGTTTTCTTGGCACACTTTAGGCCCCTTAGTGCCAATTGGGCATCGTTTAAATGCCACGGCCTACCTGAGCATTGTTTCTGACCATGTCCATCCCTTTTATGGCCACCATGTACCCATCCTCTGATGGCTACTTCCACCATGTCACAAAGCTCTAATCATTTCAAATTGGTTTCTTGAACACGACAATGAGTTCACTGTACTAAAATGGCCCCCACAGTCACCAGATCTCAGTCCAATAGAGCATCTTTGGGATGTGGTGGAACGGGAGCTTCGTGCCCTGGATGTGCATCCCACAAATCTCCATCAACTGCAAGATGCTATCCTATCAATATGGGCCAACATTTCTAAAGAATGCTTTCAGCACCTTGTTGAATCAATGCCACGTAGAATTAAGGCAGTTCTGAAGGCGAAAGGGGGTCAAACACAGTATTAGTATGGTGTTCCTAATAATCCTTTAGGTGAGTGTATATATATATGTGTGTGTGTGTGTGTGTGTGTGTGTGTGTGTGTGTGTGTGTGTGTGTGAGAATCTGTATGCATTATCCAAACTAAATGCTTCAAACAGCAGTATGCTGTATTGTTTGCCATTATTTAACCCATGAAAAAGAGTTTTGTTTGACTTGAACAAAACCATGCAGTTAATTTAATTAATTGTTTTTCAGTGTTGCATCCTGGGAATTGTTTTAATGAAATAAAGCATGAGAGTCTGTGCATTACAGTCATTTTTCTCTTTTAAGGGACGTTAAAAGCTTGCTAACCCTATGATGCAAAAGCTAAATGACAAATGACACCAAATTGTTACATTGATGATAATAATAAAAATACTTATTTTGCTTAGTAATAAAGTTGTTTGTTTGCTATTGCTAAGCAACGACGGTTGCATTAACATACAATGTGAGGTCACAGGTGTGTGTTTATCAGCATTTTACGACTTCAAACGCTGCTTATCCTGTCAGAGTTTTAATTTCTATGTAGATGCAAACCTGAAATGTTTTGGATATGAGGTGGCAAACAATTTTACATCACTGAATAAGAGACAAACATGTACCAATTGTCTTTAAATGTTATGTATTTTCTTTAACAGTCACAGATGTGACCACGAGTGCCACCCTTCCTCCTTTATAGTGGACTCCGTCTGTGTCCTCCGAGTGGCTGAATGAACAACATGTCCCCCAACTAACACATTGTTGCATCCTACTACTAATGTGTAAAAGGCCCTTTGTCTCAGTCACACATTTCTCATTGTCAAGTTACGTATATACAAGGTCATACATGTACATTCATAAGGGTTAATAACAGCTCTTTGTTCCATCAATATAGCAGAGAATCATGAGACTCCACATGCAATCCTCATGCATTTTACTACCTTAATCTAAGAACTATAATATAAGAAAAAAAAAAAGAAAAAAAATGCAAACATATAGATCATATAAAATTTTACTACTTTAATTTAAGAACTACGAATATAAGAAAATAAGAAAAATTTATCAAAATAAAAAATGCAAACATATAGATCATATTAAATTTCTTCCACAGATATTAGCAGAGTTGTCACCCAGAAAGTACATGATGCAACATGCTGATGCGACATATATTGTTTTCACAATATGAATTGGTTTTAATGACCACAAAACAAATGGCAACCTGATGAAACATAATTAATTTTTTATTGGTTAAAATCTGACTTTATTTTACTTGGTTCACTACAGTTCACTCTTGGGTAACACTTAACAATAAGGTTCATTAGTTAACTACCTTAGTTAAAATGAACAATGTATTCATCTTAGTTAATATTAATTTCAATATTTACTTATACGTTATTAAAATCAAAGGTTGTATTTGTAAACATTAGTTAATGCACTGTGAACTAACATAAACAGCTGGATTTTTATTAACAAAGATTAATAAATACTGTAACAAATGTATTGCTCATTGTTAGTTCATGTTAGTTAATACGTTAACTAATGAACCTTATTGTAAAGTGTTACTCTTGTCTTGATGTATGAACATCCACAGGATAAACTGCTCTGTGTTAGAAAGAAAACATCCAGTCTTAAATGCAAACCTTTTCTGAACTACATGGGATTGTTTCTCACACTGCATTTGCATTAGAGTTCCTCAATTCAGTGAACATGTAATTAGGCCTGTTCTCAGAGGAGATGTACTGGTGTGCATCATCTCAACATGCTGCAGCTCTTCTCGCTCATTCTGGGTATTAAATATCACATATTTGGCATTATTCCTTGAGGGCAAGTGCTGCAAAGTCCTGAAATGCGATCTTTACACAGGGAAGCCCCTGTCCGAAGCCCTCAGCTCAGGTGAGCGAAAGCTTCCCTCCTTTATGAGACGTGTTTGAGAGCAGGAGGAGAAGTGACCAATCAGAGAGCTAGAAGAGCCTGTACCTGAGCAGGTGTGAGGATCTCTTAAGCTGCTCTGTGTGTGTTTGTGTGCAGTCTCTCGGACCTATACCTCCCCCGAAAAACCCTCTTAACACCGAAACACAGGATAAAACACACAGATTATGGAGACTAGAGTTATTCTAGTGCTTTGCTTCGCCAGCCTCGGCGTGTTTTCCGGCGCGCGAGGCGATAAAAAGGACATTTACGCGAAAGTTGTGGATTTGCTGGCTCCAGGTGAAGAGTTCCTCACAGAAGATGCTCTTGTCTCGGCGTTTGAGCGGTTGGAGAACCGTGTGCAGTGTTTCGGTGTGTCGTGTGGAAAGGTAGGTTATGTGCGCACTTTTGGAGAGGTCGAGGTCCAGCGCGCGCCCGCGGCGGCTGAAGGCTCGTGCGCTACACCTGACTGAAGAAAAGTCTCGTAAATTACTGTTAAATGGGCTAAAATACAATCTTACAGAAAAATATGAGCTAAAAACAAAAATTACGAAGGGTTTGGGAAGAATAAATCATGTGTAAGGGAAATAAAGAATCGGTGCTGTTGACAAAAAAAAAAAAAATTCAAAGTGTCGAACAGGTTAAATGTTTAAAGGGGACGTGTGCTTTTTCTGGTCACGAAGTTTTTTTAAGCTTTACACCATTTTAATCGTCTTATATGTAGTCATGTGGTGTGAAAAAAAAATACTTTTCGAGTGTATTAAAGAGACCGTTCATTCAGGACCTGTTGGCCGCTATTGGGGCATGTTGTCACAGCGCGGACCTGTGTGACACATCTGTATTATTTACACTGGATTAGTCTTTACTGTAAAATTAAAACAACTATGAAATGCAAAAACAATTAATTAAACAACAAAAAATATATAAAATCAGATGTGACAACTTACCCCAGCTTGTCAGTTAGCTATGGGGGGAATAAAAACAGGTTTCACTCCCCTTATCATTTTTTCCATTATGGTTTTATTGAATTCACAAAACTACAGAATATGTGTTTGAAACCAACATAACCATCTTGATCACCATATTACTAAAAGGCGTTTGTGTAACTGGACTTTTGACTTTTTAATCAGAAAACAGATTTGCATTACGAAATATATTAGCAACAGTGCAAATTATGAACAGTGACCCCATGGTTTTATAAAATAATCTGATTGAAAACTTTTTGCTGAAATTATCCAGAGATCAGATATTTTTATAGTTTATTTAATCAATAATCATATAGGCTTGCAAGTTTTTTGAAGTGGTGAAACACATAAAACAGCACGTGTACTGTATTTGATACAGACTAATATAAAATTACTATTGTAAAGCGTTAGTAAATTATTGTGGGTCTGCTCAATAGTAAGATACTTAAATCTTTCTTTTTTTGATGACAGTGGTAGTTAACGTGTCCCACAGTTCTACTGTATTCTACTGTAAGAAAGTTTTGTACATTGAACTTTATTACTTTGAAGATCACTTATTTATATGTAATTGGAGATTAGTGTTTGTCCAAAAAAAGTGTTTTTTAAGTGGGTTAAATATTATCTTTTCTATTGTAACTTTTCAAGAGTTTGAGGTTTGTTAGTAGCCACAGATTTCCACAAAAAGGCTGAATGGAATATTATTTTCAAATTAAATTAATTAATCAGTTAAATTCTGACTTAATCTCAGATTCTCAGAATGCTTGTTTAAGGCAAAAACAACAACAAGAGCAACCCATACTTCTCCAGTTGATTGTTCACCATACATTTAATTGTTTTGTATTAAAAGATTTCTGAAATGTCATGTTTACATTTGCAAATGAGTCATTTTCTAATTAAATATGCAATTATTTGCACATATTTCCAGAACATTGATGAAGCCAAGGCCAAAATTCTTGTTTGATTTTGTCAACATATTAGAGTTATCACTTTATCACTCTGAAAATAATGTCAACAGCCTGTTTTTAGGAAGAACATTTTATATAAATGATATACTGTGTAAACAAACCCCTCTGAAACCCTTCAGAATATTAATATGTTTAAAACGGTAAAGTTTGGTGTATGTAAAGCTGCTGGTGTGGAGACTTCTGATTGGGAAAAAAACTAACGGTCTTTAGAGATATAGGCATAAAAATTTGAAATCTACATATGCAAATACATAACGTGCAATAAAATAAACACTTAAATGTGTGTATTTTGGATGTTTTATTTCTGCTAGCTGAAAGAAGACATGTTATGGAACCAAAATTAGCCTAAAATCTCAAAATTGACTTGAAAAAAATTGGCAAGAAAGAAAAAACAATGGTTTTGCCTGTATATTGTCTTTATTTAAATACAAAACAGTTGCATTAAATACAACAATTATATAGTTTCTTATCTAGACTATATGGAAGCTTGTTTCCGCCATGGAATAAAACGATTTAAGATTTTTTTTAAAAGTCTATTCTGACTTTTTTTTTTCAATTTTCAATTTTACAAATGCGAGTTATAACGTAAGAATCGCAAGATATAAATTTGTTTTATATAAAGTTCAATTCTAAAGAAAAAACTCTGACTTTTTTCTCAGAATTGTGAGTTTATATCTCAGTTCTCAAAATTTTGAGTTACATTTTTTAAGTAAAATCAAATTGGCTGTACAAGTCATTTCAACTCTTTTTTTTTAAATCTTGTCTAGTTGAATCTTGTATAACTTAAAGTTGAAATCGTCAAATTATCGATTTGATGAGCTATAAAGTGATGGAAATTACATCTGTTATTTGTTATCTTTTATGTGAAGAAAAGACGATCTACGCACCAACCCAATCAAGCGTTCAGACGGCACACAAAAGCTTGCTAGTAGCCTAAACGCAACAGAAGCGCAATATTTCGTTTTTATTGTGAGTGTACACAAATAAAAAAGAGTTTTTTATTATAGACCCTTTACAGTTTCCAATGATGCATTAGCCTACTCGTATGACCATAAATGACAGAGTATTTTAGGTTGTTTCCGCTGTCATAATGAGACAAAATCACTTGGTAATGTGCCGATTTGTGTCGTGGAAGTCTCATTATAGTCCAGTGATGAAATATGCTTGTCCTGGAAACGGGAAGCCTCCAGTGTTTTCCTCTTTCTCGCTCATCTTTCTGTGATTTCTTATAAAAGTTATCTCAACACTGCTTGCGTGTTCTCGGGGGAGGGGTTTATGTTAATTTTATGTTTGTGATGTCACAAACCCCGGAGGAAGCTTGTGTAGTTCTACCAGCTGTTTGTTGTAGTCCTTAAAAAGTAATTTCTTTAAAAGCAAATATCGTCCTTTGCTTTGAACTTTGAGCGTTGTAACTTTGCAGATGTTGTTTGTGCTCAAACAGCAACATTACACACTAACTAAAGTTAGAAAAGTGAAATCATACTCAACCACCCCTTTAAGTTGTTTCCGCTGCAATAATGAGACAAAATCATTTGGCATTGTGCCGATTTGTGTCGTGGTCCAGTGATGAAATCGGCGTGTCCTGGAAATGGGAAGCCTCAGGTGCAGCTTCACTTGCTGTGAAGTAAATGCCACTTTTTTTCCTCGCTCATATTTCTGGGATTTCTTGAAAAAGCGCAATATTGAACTCTATGCATCCGTGATTATATTGATCGATATCTCTCTCTCTCTCTCTCTCTCTCTCTCTCTCTCTCTCTCTCTCTCTCTCTCTCTCTCTCTCTCTCTCTCTCTCTCTCTCTCTCTCTCTCTCTCTCGCTCTCTCTCTCAGTGTGTGTCAGTGGAGGCTCTCCATCAGCTGTTGAACTACAGCGGCTCGCAGGGGCTCCTGATGGAGGACTTCTTCACCGTGGCTCCTGGATGCTGTTTGTTCCTGAGCGCTCCGGCTGAGACCTGCGGGGCCGTACGCGAGGGCCGATGGGGCGTCGAGACCGATCGCTTGATCCAAACCATCCTCGGCCACGACCACGATCACAACACCTCCACCACCGCTCATCCTCCTCACGGGGACATCACTGAATATGAGGGTTTGGAGAAGCTGTTTCATGATATTGAGAAGTACTATCAGCCCGACACACATGAGGTGTGTATCATTTTTTATTTTCATGTTGTTTAGTGCATGCTCACGGTCAGTGTTGGGGAAAGTTACTTTTAAAAGTAATGCATTACAATATTACGTTACTAAAAAGTAACTAATTGTGTTACTTAGTTACTTTTTATGAAAAGTGATGCGTTACATTACTTTTGTGTTACTTTTTTTCACCTGGGCTGGGTTTGCTCGTTTGTTTTTTAATAACATAAAAAAAAAGTTACATTTTTGGCAAATGTTATAAGCCTCAGGCTGAGGGAAATGCATATTTATATTTAATATATTTATGCCTGTACAGTAGAAACAAACCGTTCTGCTGTTCTGGATTAAAGAACAATATAGGAGAAGGAAGTTCAACACTCTTATTACTAAATCTAATGTCATTTTTGATTATTGGTATGATTAGATTAGACCATTGGAAGGTCAGCAGCAAAGACATTGGTTAATAAATTGAGATTAAATACATAAAGTAGATTTGTGTGATTTAATATAGTTAATTATAAATGTTTTGCGTAAAATTCTGAGGTTGCATTTTACTGTTTTTATTCATTTTGAGGAATACTGAATGTTTTCGTGCAAGTGAGATGAGTAAATGCATGTTCACATTTAGTCTAGAACTGAAATAACCATCATGTTCACACAGCGCACGCACACACACACACACACACACACACACACACAACTCCTCCTCACTTTATTTCTCCCAACATCGGGACAGGAGAGCTGCCTGTCAGTCAATACATGTGAAAAAGTAACTTAGATATTTTGGTGTAAATTGAAAAATAATGTATTACTTTTAAAAGTAATCTGATTACGTAACTCAAGTTACTTGTAATGAGTTTCCCCCGACACTGCTCACGGTGTCATGAATTATGTGGCTGTTGTTCCTTTTTTGGCCATGTGAGGTCCTCAGTGTTTTTCTTTTGTTGTTTTATGCCTGCCACATGTTCTCATTATTATTGATTTATTAGTTTCACCTGAACCTTGTTAAGCTGCCTATTTAAAACCCTGTTGTCTTGAGTTCTTGGCTCAGTCTTGCTGTTATGTTCGACTGGGAATCGAACCCGGGTCTCCTGCGTAGCAGGGAGAAGCACTACCTCGGTGCCACAATGTGGTAGACTTGTAGTCTAGACCGCCTAAACCGAGACCAAGACACTACCAAGACCAGATGGTATCGAGACCAAGACAAGACCAAGACCAAGACCAAGACAGACCAAGTCGAGACTAAGACCGAGACCAAGTCGAGACCGGAGGGGAAAAAAACATTAGTGTTGAAGCTAAGCAATAACTTGTCAAATGTTGTTTTGCATTTGCCTGCCTATCTCTGCTGATTTCAAAGTCTCCAAATGAATCCATTCTGCAACTTTTAAATACATAATTATATTTTTAAAAACGAAATTATAGGCTTAAGTGCAGGATCCGAAAGTTGGTCGTTTTTGTCGCTATGGTTACACACACACACACACACACCGTTGGCGGTGCGCTCAAAGTCATCTGTCAGTTGTGCAGTTACCCAAAATCTCCTGAATGAAGGTAAAACCCATCATGTCACTGATATGTGTTTTTTAAATCAAGTGATCAAAGTGCTCGTTGCCGCTGCGATCAGTAGCGCGGATACAGTGTTTTCTCGCGTGGCTCGCGCGCACCGCACTGTCTTCACTCGGACGCGCGCTTCAATACGTTGCGGATATCGTCGTGGATATTGTAGTATTGTATTGCTCAATCCCCTGACCACTATGTCGGTCTGAGACAGCGAGACCTAGACAAGACCGAGAGGTCCGAGACCAAGACAAGACCGAGACCAAAGACCGTCAAGGCCGTGACAAGACCGAGACCACGTAAAAGTGGTCTCGAGACCGGTCTCGAGACATCACTACAATGTGGTGTATTCAACTCAGAATGCAGAGACAGAGACAGTAACTCAGTTCAAGGGCTTTACTTGAAAAGCAGGGCAAAAGTATCCAACAAGGAACAGGCAAAAACAAAAAGTACAATCCAGGCAAAGCTCAAAGTCCACTATCTCAGTCAGAATCAGTGAATAATCCAGAAGCAGGAGGCAAACTTGTAATCCAAAAAGGCATGTACAGGTTGGTAACAAACAGCAATCACAGGGGGAAAATACTCTGAATAATAACTCATGGACAGTTTTAGGGGGCTTTCACACTGGCAGTTTAGTTCGGAACGGGGCACGGTTCGCATGAAAAATCGCTAATGTGAACGCTGTCATGGGACCCGGGTGCGCACTGGGGTACCGAACCCGAGACTACCTGGAAGAGGTGGTCTGAGTTCATTTGCTCCCGAACCGTGCCGCGGTTCGCGTGAATGTGAAAGCAACACGGACTCGGGTGCACACTTGTTCAGGAAGTAAAGTAACCTGCGCATGCGTTTTTAGCTTATTGTGATGTATTTAGTTAAATAAAACGCTTGTAAGGGATGATTGTGTTGATGATTTACCTTGGATACGAGCGAGAGTGAGCCTGCAGTGTATTCGTGCATTGCGCGTGGAATCAGGGCAACAAAGTTGGAAAAAGTCTCCTAAAAAGAGTCCGTTTGCAAGCAGCAGAAGTCCACCTTATGTGACACACGCACAGTAAACCTGCAGTGTTCACTCAACTGCGCATAATAGCAGCGAATTAATAAAAAAAAAAAAAAATATTGACCCGCGTTCTGTTTTCTATCATGCGCCGTGCACGTTTGCGATGACGTCATCTGCACGCAAACGCACCAGGGTTCGATAGAATCAAGTTGAGTGTGAAACCAGACCAACGCTGCGGGGGACGCCGGAAACAAACGCGCTCGGACCGCAGCAAACGAGCCCAGTGTAAAAGCCCCCTTAGTCAAAACAAGAAAAGAACACAAGACAACAGGGTTTTAAATAGGCAGCTTAACAAGGTTCAGGTGAAACTAATAAATCAATAATGAGAACATGTGGCAGGCATAAAACAACAAAAGAAAAACACTGAGGACCTCACATGGCCAAAAAAGGAACAACAGCCACATAATTCATGACAACGGCTATCTGGAATGTAAAATGATTGCAAAGGCTAATTGCAACTTGTGCTGTTGAGAATGACAGCGAGGCTGGACACTTCATGCTGACGGACACATGTGTCTTGTGCTTCTCGTTTAGCCCTGTGTCTCTCTGAAGGACATCGTGGAGGAGAGCAGTTCTCCTCACGGAGATCATGTGCACGTGGAGCTGGACGCTGTGATGGGGAACGTCCTCTATCACGCTCTGAGAGGAGACTGCATTAAAGCACACGTGTTTCCTGAGCGCCAGTTCTTCCTGGATTACATCTTCAGCCGCTTCGGCTCGGGAAACCTCACGCTTCACGGTATGACTGGCTGATAATCCTCTTTTGACCAAAGCATTTCCATTTCATACCACTAGGCTCAGACTCTATTGAAATAAAACTGAAATAAAATAGAAATATTAGATGGGAAAACCTTGGCAACTACTATATTTTCAGTTTTCATTTTAGTTAAAGTTTAAGCAAGTTTGTCATTATTAGTCGTTTTTAAACCTTTTTATTTCATTTCATTTTTAGTTTTAGATATCTTAGTACAAAAATTATACATGTTAACATTAATTGGAAACTAACTGATATTTTAATTTATTAGTGCTGGGAAACAATTAATCGAGATTAATCGCATCCAGAATAAAATATTGTGTTTACATAATATATGTTCGTGATTCGTAATTGCGACTTTTTATCTCACAATTCTATCTTTCATCTTTTATCTCACAATTGTGTGATATAAAGTCTCAATTGCGAGTTATAAAGTCAGATTAGCGTGAAATAAACTCACAATTGCGTGTTATAAAGTGAGAATTGCGCTGACAGTAACACTCTACTTTATACTTCCCTATCATAAAGTATTTTGTTTTGTCACATGTGTTTTTGTTCTGGTTCATCTGTGATGTAAACCAGTAGCTATTGGCTGATTAGACTGGATGCGCTCTTTGACGTCCTTGTACAAAGAAAAAACAATGATGTGGTCATTAATGTTCTGAACTATTAACATATTTGCACTTCTGATCGTGACTTTTTTAAATAATGTTATTGTTGTCAGATTTTGAAGAGCTTCTAAAGACCTTAAACCTGGGCGGAGAGGAACATGACCATGATCACGATCACGATCACAGGAGGAAGACCAACAAGCAAAGTCTTGCAGAGAGTCATCGGACCAACAGCAGCTGGGACACGGTAATCTACAGAGAAACTCACATATTTACATGTTACTTACTTTTTTTTGCAATTAAATGAATCATTAACATATTTAACTCCCAAACCCAGTTCAGGAAACCCTGTGGTAATCAATCATTAAACAAACAAAGTACTACATTTGAACACATTAACTCAAAACTCACACCATTTCTTTTTTCATTAACTTGGACGAATATGTTATTTCCCAGAATGCATTTCCTGTGTGTCAACCAACCTTTGAATAGCATTTACACTTTTATCATTCAAATTCCAATTCCAGTTTCTGAGGTTTACAAAAACTTACAGCAACATAAAATTGTGGCTTTTCCCTTTTATGGGGCATCATGGGAAATCTTTGCACGCCTCTGAAATCGAATCATTTAGCCGTGGCACTTGACGAAGAGAGCAATCATGTGACTGCGTGAGAAATGATTTGGAGGCCTGTAACATGAAGTGTCAGTGGCGTCCATTAATGTTTATTTCTTTTGATAGATGTTGTGACACGCACTGCATGTTTCATCAGTCCACATAATCAGAGGGAAATAAGCAGTACATATGATCTGAGCTCGTTTTTAATCATGATTAATATTTCCCATTTCTTTAAGCTCACACGCTGTCTAAATAAGACCTGTCATCTGACATCCGTGGAATTAATATTTCAGCAAATAGTTAATTTGAGTGTTTCACGCGTGAATATCAGAGCATCGGCAGCGCTGCGGTGTGAAATGAAATATTAATGCCAACAAATGTTTTATGCATTTGTTGATTTGCATGTGTCCGTGTGGATTATGTTGTGCACACAGGCCTGTTTCAGCGCGGAAGACCTGTGGAGGATCTACGGCCTGAACTCTTCATCACTGACCCGGGATCAGTTCACAGAGCTCAGTCCTGCCCTGATCCAGCAGATCCTCAGCCAAGGCTGTTCTGAGATCAGTCCTACACCGACGAGCCCTGATTCTCTCAGCACCGCAGAGAGTGAGTGACCTGATCAAATTATATATTATATGTTATCATACCAACCTCCTTGAACTACTACAGTCTACTTTGTTGATTCAAATATGCTCATAATGTACCACCATAACAATACGTAATGGTAGAATCGAAGATTGGATAATGAAATATACATGGCTAATAAACATGTACTGTAGGCTAATAAACAATCATATCTCACCAAAAAAATATAAGTGTATGTCAGATATTGCAATCTGACATACACTGAAAAAAAAATTACATGATTATTAAGTTATGACGTGTTTTGACATTTCATTTAATTTGAGAAGATTCAACTCATTTTTTTTAAACTTTTTAATGTAATTTAAGTTGAAATGACCTAAACATCCAAGTTGATTGTACTTAAGCCATTAGAAAAACAATGCTGTAAAAAAAGTTGCTGCCTTAAATGTTTAAGCACATTAACAATAATAATATACTGTATATTATTTATAATGATAATAGAAATAACATTCTAATAAAAATAATAATCATTAATAACATTTAAAGTAAAGTAGATTTGTAAGTATATGCATCATTGAGATAATCATATAGTTTGTATTATTTTTTTATATTTTCATTTGAATTTTGTTGTGGGATTTTTGTTGTTTTTATTAGTTTTTAGGCTATATAGTTTTTATTAATTTAAAAAAGAGTTTCACTTATTTTAAAACATCAAGTTAAACTAGACAAAAATGGGAAATGATGAAACAAAATGAAATAAATAAAAAGTTTTTTTTGTTTTACTTTATTTCTGTTAACATTTATTTAATTTAAAACAAAGCATTTTTCATGGTTTTAATTTAAGTTTTAGTTTTAGTTAAAGGTGCATTGCGCAACTTTTCATGTTAAAAATACCTGTTTTTCTATCCTATACATGCTTAAAGAACTGCCTGATGGGCTGAACGAGCCCTTCTCTGCGCACTGAGATTGCCTCTATAATCCTGTACAGTAAAATATATAAGAGGGATTCGGGCTCGAATTTGAGACTGGGCGTGACGTCATGCGCGTTCACGCTCACCAACCTCTCGCAGGTTTGTGTATTCGCCGGCGCCGCCATTCTCCGCATCAGCGAAGACAACTCGTGCGTCAAAGGTAGAAGATGGATTCAAAGAGACCGGCTCGTAGTCCATTCCAAACCCCAACGCAAACTCCACGTAAAGTAAAGAAAAGAAAAATGTTGTCTAGTGCCACCAAAAGGTCCAAACTGGAGTCAGACAGGCGTCGGAGTCAGACGAGAGTCAACCTCGGGAGGCATTCAACAAATGGAGAGATCTCCGGTCTGCTCTTGGTCTCAAACGGGATCCTCAGTTGGCTTTTTTCTTGATAAAACGGTAAGATATAGCCCAGTCTCTAATGTCTGATACGGCCAATCTATGCATGACAACAAATGACGATGCGTAAAATGTGTAATGCTTTAGCGTAAGCTAGATACGGTTTTACTACCATTGTTAGTGAACAGTAAACTAGGAATTGTGTTCGGAAGAATAGTACAACATGAAACATATCCAATAAAAGATGCGTGTGGTCCATGAGCGTGCACAACTCTGGTTGCAGTTTCGCTTGTCGCCAGAGGGGGCGTAGTTCTGCAAAAACTCAGAGACTTGCGTTTTGCACCTTTAACTATAATAACACTAGTATGTGTCATGGTAGTAATTGTTGTACTGAATTTAACTTTAGGAGAAAATGTGCCTAATTGTAATGGACAATGTCACAATGCAAAAAAAAAAACTGAAAATCTCCAAAAAATAGTTTATATAATAAATAATAGTTTAGTTTAATATTTAAAAAAAAAACCTAAAACTGTTAAAGACCTAAAGATCTCAAAATAAACTCATACAGTATAATTTAATCTCAATTAGTGAAAAAGTGTTGTAAAAGACACCTTTATTTGGAAGTATGAATTGTATTTATTAACCGAAGTGATCTTGTTTTGTGCGCAGGATACGGATACGCCACGCTGGCGAACCTCATCATCTGTCTGATGGCCATGTGTGGGATCGTGGTGCTGCTGTTCTCGGCCTGCACGCGAGTGTTCGAGCTCTGCATCCAGTTCTGCATCAGTCTCGCGGTGGGATCTCTGACGGGAGACGCTCTGCTGCATCTGCTGCCCGCGGTCAGAAAACACACCAACACAGCCTTCATTTTTCAGTTATATACTAGAGTTACTGTATTTTTAGTAATTTTATGATGTTCTTTTATGATTTTTTTAGTATATTTTTATTTGGCTTTTATTTTTATTTTTACTAATTTTAGAACTTGTTTTCAGTTAGTAGTTAAAGGGACAGTTCACCCAAAAATTAAAACTCTGAGAAAACAGCAAGCATTTTTAAAGGGTTAGTTCACCCAAAAATGAAAACTCTGTCAGTAATTACTCTCATGTTGTTCAACCCCGTTCATCTTCAGAACACAAATTAAGATATTTTTGATTAAATCTGAGAGCTGGATCACTCCTCCATAGGCTTCATGGTATTTTTTGTGAGCCTCGGGTGAGTTCACGACTTAGTCTAATAGTGTTCGCAAACACGTCAGTGTACGTCACACGTAGGCTCACTATTGGCCGACGCTGGTCATGTGTGTGATGCGTGTGACGTACACCAGAAGCGCTGCGCTGTTACACTACGAGAACTCACTCAAGGCCCACAGAGAAGGAAATGAAGAGTTGAAGTCGTTATTTTTTTATTTATTTTTTTCGCATAAAAAGTATTCTCGACGCTTGATAAACTTAAGGTTGAGCCACTGTAGTCACTTGGACTATTTTAACAATGTCTTTAAAGTCCCACTCCGATCATATTTTGAGCTATTTTTAAACATTCCCAGTGGTCTTTAAATTATGATTATGCCATTTTTAGCCAAAATCACAAAACCTGTGCCGTTTTCTGGGACTTCGCTTCAGCAGAGCGGCAGTAGCTCATTAGCAATTCGCCTCTGCGTTGTGGGCGGAGCCGTTGGCACGGAGACGACCCTCCCCCTGCCCGTTGCTGAGAGCTCTGTCTCTCCCGCTAGCTTACACCCCCAATACCGGTGGGGCAACAGTATTATATACACGTTGATTATTATTATCCGAAGTTAATCAAAGTTATCACCGATCACCGATCATTATTTCACTCCAAGACGTCGCGTGTGGAGACGCCCAGTGGAGTTACTACGTCACAACTCCAGTCGATTTTAGCCGGCATTTTAGCGTCTGCTACTGATTCACAGCCATTTGAATGTAGAAATACTCAGAAATACAACTTTGAGCTGATTTTTCTCAAGATATGTCCTCTAACATCAGAAAAATGCCACAAGAACATGTTAACACCTAGAAAAACATTATTTTCATCGGAGTGGGTCTTTAATAACTTTTCGGGGAACAAGTTTCAATCCCTTAAGAAGCCTATGGAGGAGTGATCCAGCTCTCACATTTAATCAGAAATATCTTAATTTGTGTCCCGAAGATGAAGGAAAGTCTTACGGGGTTGAACAACATGAGGGAGAGTAAATACTGACAGAGTTTTCATAAAAATTTCAGCTTCATTTCAATTAATAAAAAATATTTGTAATAGTTTTAGTTAACAATAACCACCCTGCTTTAACCTGTGCTGTTATTGTAGAATCGTTTAGTATTCTGACCTTGAAATATCAGTTCATGTCACACTATCATGATTGTATCTTCTTATTAGTACAGTCCATCCCAAATCACGAGGCGCGCTGCCAAACGCAGGTTAGCCTGTATCTCTGAATGCACCTGAAAGGGCAAAGGAGTGTTTATTTCATATTTCATAACGCTGGCATGTCGAACTCTTCATGCAACGATATACAATGTAAAAAAAAAAATTCATAGTTGTAAATAAAACAAAGATCATATAAAAAATACTATGTTCTACAGTACTTCAAAATTTCATGTTTATTTCAACATTCTGCGATCACTCTCTGCCTGAATCTCATAGAAACGTCCGTTTTCCGGTTTAACGGGGCAATATGGGTCTCGGCGGCCGGCCTGGCACACGTTATTACTCATAATATACAACCATGACAAAAATCGAAGCTCGCATAATGAAATATACATGGCTAATAAACATGTAGGCTTATAAACAATCATATCTCACTCAAAAATCACAAGAAAACAATTAGTTTCTGCTTAAAGAACATCAAGTCTGCTTGAAAGATTTTTTTTTTGCAATGTGACATTCCCTTTAAAAAATTATATGATCAATAAGTTATGACAACAAAGGTGTTGTTGACAACATGACAACAACACCTTTTTTTTTATCAAAAAATGTTATGTATACAAGATAAAACCTTTTCTTACCTTTTAAGTTGAAATTACTTAAACATCCAAGTTGATTGTACTTTAAAATTTAAGGCAGCAACTTTTTTTACAACGTTGTTTTATTTTAATGGCATAACACATTAAAAATAATAAAATACTGTATATTATTAAAGGTGCAATGTGTAACATTTTTGAGTATCTATTAACAGAAATGCAATATGACATCCATAACTATGTGTTCAGTGGTGTATAAAGAACTTACTTAATAAACCGTAATGTTTTTATTACCTTAGAATGAGGCATTTATATCTACATAGGCGCGGGAATCCCCTTCTATGAAGGTCGCCATATTGTGACGTCATGTTTCTACCGTAGCCGACAGCGAACAAACAGCGTTACAGACCGCGTTTCGTCACTACATTGAAAGAGAAGCCGCAGGAAGCTAGAAGAAGCTAGTCATAAACACCGTGAGTAGTGACTTTTCCCTTGTCAGTGGTGTAAATATGTAGTTGGATTGTTTCATGTAACTTAATTCTTCTCCCTCGCTGTGTTATGGCTTTGCTATGTGGGGATAAATGTGCTGGTTAAGTTCGTGAGACAGCTGATTAGTAGGCTACTCTTGTCATTGACCGTAAAACAGTTACAGGAATCACCAACCCGTCGATCTTGGAAGCATTTTAAGTCGATCGCTTAGAGTTTCCAAAATCAGAGAAAAAAAGCCTATTGTGTGTAGTAAGTGGTGTGTAGGGGATGCGGAGGCGCGCGCGCTGTTACAATCACATTATTTTTGCCGCGCGCACCTTTGGGCTCATGCGGACATGTCGAGTTTAAACAAGGCTTAACGCTTTAACCAGCTCAGCCACAGTAACAGCTCATATTAGCCAGCTAAACTTTTACTACCCTGTTAGAAAAAATATATAGTTGCATAGTTTCATGTGGTTCTTCTCCCTCGCTGTATTATGAGTTTGCTTTGTGGGGAGAATGTGCTGGTTACGTTCGTGAGACAATCAGCTGATTACTATTATTATATTAGGTAAGGTGCATTGTGTAATATTTCTGAGGATCTATTGACAGAGATGCAATATAAAATCCATAACTATGTTTTCAGTGGTGTATAAAGACCTTACTTAATGAACCGTTATGTTTTTATCACCTTAGAATGAGACATTTATATCTACATAGGCGCGGGAATCCCCTTCTATGAAGGTCTGAAGGTATGTTTCTACCGTAGCCGAAAGCGAACAAACAGCGCTAAAGAAACCTCATTGCTTGACTTACTACTCTCTGCTGCTGACTCAGACGACGACATATTTTGTCTTACGTCGGCCACCGTAGCTTCTCATTCGAGTTTGAAAACCGAGGGATAGGCCGCGAGTGACTTGGTGTTTGCAATTTGCAAGTTTCACCACTAGATGCCGCTAAAAATCCCACACTGCACCTTTAATAATAATAGAAATAATATTCCAATAAAAATAATTAACAATATTTAAGGTAAAGTAGGTTTGTAGGTATGCATCGAGATTATAGTTTTTATAATTTCTTATTTATATATGCACCGTTTTCATTTGAATTTTAGTTATAGTAATTTTGTTGTGTTTTTTTTTTGTTTTTCTATATTGTTTTTATTAATTTAAAATAGTTTGTTATTTTAGAACAAGTTAAACTAAACAAAAATGGGAAATGATGAAATAACAAAAACTAAAAAAGTGTTTATACTTTATTTCTGTTAACGTTTACTTAATTTAAAGCAATGAAAGCATTTTTTTTATGGTTGTTAGTTTTAGTTAACTATAATAACACTAGTATGCATCATGGTAGTAATTGTTGTACTGAATTTAACTTTAGGAGATTTAGGAGAAAATGTGCCTAATTGTAATGGACAATGTCACAGTTTTCTGAGTGAAAATGTAGTGTTATCCTTCATCTATCTCTCGTGCCGTTCTGCCATCACTGCAAAAAAATGCTTTTCTTACTTAGTATTTTTGTCTTGTTTCCAGTTCAAATATATAGAAATTCTTAAATCAAGATGCATTTACTAGAAGAGTAAAATGACAAGATATTATTATGTCCTGTTTTCTGGGGAAATAAATAAAAATTAAGTGAGTTGATGTTTAAAAAATAAATACACTCACCGGCCACTTTATTAGGTACCCCATGCTAGTAACGGGTTGGACCCCCTTTTGCCTTCAGAACTGCCTCAATTCTTCGTGGCATAGATTCAACAAGGTGCTGGAAGCATTCCTCAGGGACTTTGGTCCATATTGACATGATGGCATCACACAGTTGCCGCAGATTTGTCGGCTGCACATCCATGATGCGAATCTCCCGTTCCACCACATCCCAAAGATGCTCTATTGGGTTGAGATCTGGTGACTGTGGAGGCCATTTTAGTACAGTGAACTCATTGTCATGTTCAAGAAACCAATTTGAAATGATTAGAGCTTTGTGACATGGTGGAAGTAGCCATCAGAGGATGGGTACATGGTGGCCATAAAGGGATGGACATGGTCAGAAACAATGCTCAGGTAGGCCGTGGCATTTAAACGATGCCCAATTGGCACTAAGGGGCCTAAAGTGTGCCAGGAAAACATCCCCCACACCATTACACCACCACCACCAGCCTGCACAGTGGTAACAAGGCATGATGGTTCCATGTTCTCATTCTGTTTACGCCAAATTCTGACTCTACCATCTGAATGTCTCAACAGAAATCGAGACTCATCAGACCAGGCAACATTTTTCCAGTCTTCAACTGTTCAATTTTGGTGAGCTCTTGCAAATTGTAGCCTCTTTTTCCTATTTGTAGTGGAGATGAGTGGTACCCGGTGGAGTCTTCTGGTGTTGTAGCCCATCCGCCTCAAGGTTGTGCGTGTTGTGGCTTCACAAATGCTTTGCTGCATACCTCGGTTGAAACGAGTGGTTATTTCAGTCACTGTTGCCCTTCTATCATCTCGAACCAGTCTGGCCATTCTCCTCTGACCTCTGGCATCAACAAGGCATTTCCACCCACAGAACTGCCGCTCACTGGATGTTTTTTCTTTTTCGGACCATTCTCTGTAAACCCTAGAGATGGTTGTGCGTGAAAATCCCAGTAGATTAGCAGTTTCTGAAATACTCAGACCAGCCCTTCTGGCACCAACAATCATGCCACGTTCAAAGTCACTCAAATCAACTTTCTTCCCCATACTGATGCTCGGTTTGAACTGCAGGAGATTGTCTTGACCATGTCTACATGCCTAAATGCACTGAGTTGCCGCCATGTGATTGGCTGCTTAGAAATTAAGTGTTAACGAGCAGTTGGACAGGTGTACCTAATAAAGTGGCCGGTGAGTGTATATCTGCCAATGTGGTAAGAAAAATAATCTTAATTTAAGCAGAAACAAGATTATTTTTCTTACCCCATTGGCAGATAATTTACCTTATTTTAAGCAAAAACTCACTTCCCCAGAAATAAGACTTAATATCTAACAATTTTACTACTTTAGTAAATGCATCTTGATTTAAGAAATGTTTGATATTTGGACTGGAAACAAGACAAAAATACAAAGCAAGAAAAACATTTTTTGCAGTCTCCGCCTGAAGCCCATAGAAACGTCCCGTCTCCCAGTTTAACAGGCCTGGCTCCCGTTATTTCCCCCGAGCGCTGGCATCGCCCACCTTCCCTCATCCGTTTAGATCCGTGTCAACATAACTACAGCCCTGTCATACCATGTCATCGGCCTGAGTGGAAAATAACCGGATTGCTGAGAAGAAACTGAGCTCTCTTATTGAGTGCAGACAGGAGTTACTCTACAGCCCTGCTGGGAAATGAAAGCTTCTGACTGGCGTTAATGTCATTGTCCAGCTGTGTTTTCATGGCTGTGTGTCTCTGTGCAGTTCTTAGGCCTTCACGTTCACGGAGACGGAAACGATCACGATCACACTGAGGAAAACCTCGACTATGTGTACAAACTCCTGGTGCTTCTCACGGGCGTGTATTTCTTCTACCTGATGGAGAGCATCTTCTCCATCATCACTCGCTCACCACATCACCACCGTCACGATGAAGTGAGTGTTTCGTGTCGTTTGAGCGTTCTCGTCTCACATGATCCGATTATGAGTTGATTCCCAGATCTGTGTCCACAGGAGGAGTCTGAGGTCCATCACTGCGATCACGGCCGAGTCCTGCAGATGTTCCAGCAAGAGAGACAGAAGGATCACTCCAGCTCTCAGGCCGATCTGGTGAGGAAATCACGGAAAAATATACGTCTCAATGCTAAGAAAAGTGGGAAATGCATGTCTCTGTGCTAAGAAAAGTGGGAAATGCATGTCTCTGTGCTAAGAAAAGTGGGAAATGCATGTCTCTGTGCTATGTCTCTGTGCTAAGAAAAGTGGGAAATGCATGTCTCTGTGCTAAGAAAAGTGGGAAATGCATGTCTCTGTGCTAAGTAAAGTGGGAAATGCATGTCTCAGTGCTAAGAAAAGTGGGAAATGCATGTCTCAGTGCTAAGAAAAGTGGGAAATGCATGTCTCAGTGCTAAGAAAAGTGGGAAATGCATGTCTCTGTGCTAAGAAAAGTGGGAAATGCATGTCTCAGTGCTAAGAAAAGTGGGAAATGCATGTCTCTGTGCTAAGAAAAGTGGGAAATGCATGTCTCTGTGCTAAGAAAAGTGGGAAATGCATGTCTCAGTGCTAAGAAAAGTGGGAAATGCATGTCTCAGTGCTAAGAAAAGTGGGAAATGCATGTCTCAGTGCTAAGAAAAGTGGGAAATGCATGTCTCAGTGCTAAGAAAAGTGGGAAATGCATGTCTCTGTGCTAAGAAAAGTGGGAAATGCATGTCTCTGTGCTAAGTAAAGTGGGAAATGCATGTCTCAGTGCTAAGAAAAGTGGGAAATGCATGTCTCAGTGCTAAGAAAAGTGGGAAATGCATGTCTCAGTGCTAAGAAAAGTGGGAAATGCATGTCTCTGTGCTAAGAAAAGTGGGAAATGCATGTCTCTGTGCTAAGAAAAGTGGGAAATGCATGTCTCAGTGCTAAGAAAAGTGGGAAATGCATGTCTCAGTGCTAAGAAAAGTGGGAAATGCATGTCTCAGTGCTAAGAAAAGTGGGAAATGCATGTCTCTGTGCTAAGAAAAGTGGGAAATGCATGTCTCAGTGCTAAGAAAAGTGGGAAATGCATGTCGAAAAGTGGGAAATGCATGTCTCTGTGCTAAGAAAAGTGGGAAATGCATGTCTCAGTGCTAAGAAAAGTGGGAAATGCATGTCTCAGTGCCAAGAAAAGTGGGAAATGCATGTCTCAGTGCTAAGAAAAGTGGGAAATGCATGTCTCTGTGCTAAGAAAAGTGGGAAATGCATGTCTCTGTGCTAAGAAAAGTGGGAAATGCATGTCTCAGTGCTAAGAAAAGTGGGAAATGCATGTCTCTGTGCTAAGAAAAGTGGGAAATGCATGTCTCAGTGCTAAGAAAAGTGGGAAATGCATGTCTCAGTGCTAAGAAAAGTGGGAAATGCATGTCTCTGTGCTAAGAAAAGTGGGAAATGCATGTCTCTGTGCTAAGAAAAGTGGGAAATGCATGTCTCAGTGCTAAGAAAAGTGGGAAATGCATGTCTCTGTGCTAAGAAAAGTGGGAAATGCATGTCTCTGTGCTAAGTAAAGCGGGAAATGCATGTCTCAGTGCTAAGAAAAGCGGGAAATGCATGTCTCAGTGCTAAGAAAAGCGGGAAATGCATGTCTCAGTGCTAAGAAAAGCGGGAAATGCATGTCTCAGTGCTAAGAAAAGCGGGAAATGCATGTCTCTGTGCTAAGAAAAGCGGGAAATGCATGTCTCTGTGCTAAGAAAAGCGGGAAATGCATGTCTCAGTGCTAAGAAAAGCGGGAAATGCATGTCTCAGTGCTAAGAAAAGTGGGAAATGCATGTCTCTGTGCTAAGAAAAGTGGGAAATGCATGTCTCTGTGCTAAGAAAAGTGGGAAATGCATGTCTCAGTGCTAAGAAAAGTGGGAAATGCATGTCTCTGTGCTAAGAAAAGTGGGAAATGCATGTCTCAGTGCTAAGAAAAGTGGGAAATGCATGTCTCTGTGCTAAGAAAAGTGGGAAAGAGTCTTTGTTAATAATTAAACTAATACCAATGGAGTCTAAGTGTTATTTTAGTATCATTTATACGCTATTATAGTTTTATAAATACATATATATATATTTTTCATTCTCAACTTTAGTTACATTTTTAGTAATTCTGATGGGTGTTTTGTCTTTATTTATTTATTGATATTTATATAATTGTCAACACTACCTTTCAAACGTTTGAAATAATTAAAAATGTTTACTTTTTTTATAAGTCTGTCTGCAAAAAATTTAGATTTGATCACAGGAATAAATTACTGTTTACAATATATTCACATGGAAAACAGCTATTTTAAATTGTCATACTATTTCACAACATTACTGTTTTAACTATAAGTTTGATCGAATAAATGCAGACTTGGTGAGCAGAAGAGACTTATTTAAAAAACATTCAAAAATGTATTTTAAAACCTTTTGACCTGTAGTAGGCCTATATATACAGTGTATATATATATATATTTTTATGAATACATTTTTCTAATTAATTTACATTTTTTATATTTTATTTCAAATAGTGTTTCTTTTATTCCTGTAGTATGTATTTTTTTATGAATACATTTTTCTGATTAATAAATGTAATTACATTTTTTATATTTTAGTGTTTATTTTATTTAAAATAATGACAATACTTTTTTTTATGGTTGTAGTTAACAATAATAACCCTGTTCAGACGTTTGGATTTGTAACAAAACGTAAAGCTCATACACTTACAGTAGTTTCTTCACATATTAGATTGCATTCTTTGTTTAAATATTCTCTGTAGTTTTTATTCTACTAAGTTTGTAGGTTCTAAGAGATGTGCGATTAATGAATATTTTATCACTATTATTTAATGTAGGTGGATGCTGAAAAAAAAGAGAAGTCCTTCCTGGAGCCTGGAGCCTCTAAAAGAGGTGACAATGACATATTCATGTTCTGCACATCGAGTGAGCTGTTTAGTGTAAATAACCATCAGGCCTCTACTAAAAGATGTGATGCATGGTTACAGTGGTCTTGTCTTGTCGTTCAGAGCAGCGTTTGCTTCCCTACATGATCACCATCGGAGACGGCATCCATAACTTTGCTGACGGTTTGGCTCTCGGCGCAGCGTTCTCCATCTCGTGGCGATCCGGCCTGGCCACGGCTCTGGCGGTGCTCTGCCACGAGCTGCCACACGAGCTAGGTGAGCGTGTATTAGAGGATCAAACATGCAATCATATTTTTGAAATATCATTAGAATTTGAAATCGCTGTTTTTATGTGAATATATAGAAAAGCATAATTTATTCCTGTGATCAAAGCTGGATTTCCAGCATCATTACTCCAGTCTTCAGTGTCACATGATCCTTCAGAAATCACTCTAATATGATGATCTGATGCTCAAGACACATTTATGATTATTATCAATGTTGAAAACAGTCGTGCTGCTTCATATTTGTGTGGAAATCGTCATACTTTTTTTAGGATCGTTTGATGAATAGAAAGTTCAAAAGAACAGCATTTATTTGAAATAGAATCTTATAACATTATAAATGTGTTTGTTTTTTTTGTCACTTTTGATCAATTAGAAGAATCATTTTCACACATGATTTCGCTCCTCTGAAAGTCTTTGGGATGTTCAATAAATGTTATGATGTAATTTCCATACATTTTTGGTCAAGATCTTGTGAAAATGTTCCCTTGTGTTTTTCTTCATTTCATTTTGACTAAAATGAACGTGTTGCAATACAGCATACAATTTTTTTGTGCATCTCATTTTCTGTTTTGAAATTGTATTATGTGTACATACACTGCCCGACCAATCAAAAGTGCTGTTTGGATTTAAATAGGCAGATGCTTAAGAGTCTATTGGCCCTGTCCCAAATGGCACACTCCGGACTTGTGGACTTCCTCAGAGTCCACACTTCGGTGACGTCATGTAGTGCAGACCTATAGGGCCCTTAGCGCGAGTCCGCGAGGGCGCATTGAGAGGTATTTTTGGGACAGACTCGATCGTCACGCCGGAAACAGGAAGACGGTCTGATTGTTGTTATGGACAGGAGCGACAGGTTCGGGGAAATATGCCGCCTATTGTTGTGGTGTTTACACATGACTCAGTAAAGCCCTGACATTCTGTTCTATTTATTTAATGAATCATAATGCGATCGTATTATTCAGCTCGCTTTTATTAGCCTATGTTTGAGACATTAACCACTGGTCGATGATCATAATGTTTGTATAAACTTGTCATAAAAACCGTAATGATATTAATTACACTTAAATATTTTCTTCTCAGCCATGTTAACAATTGTCCGTGAGCGAAATCTCCTCCCATCCGGTGTCTGATCGGCCTTTCGCAAGGATTCCTGGGTAGTTAAAGAAGTGCGTGGAGCCTGCATCTATGCGGCTTCGCGGAAGACCGCTTCAAGGGTACACAGGGGGCGCTGCCGAGCACACTTCAGAGCGTTAAAATGCTAAATGGGACGGATACGGACTCGTAGACTCGGCGAGATCGCGCAATTTAAGTCCACGAAACCGAAAGTCCGCATGAAGTGCGCCATTTGGGACACGACCTATGACTGGATTGTTATTGCAGTGATTATTATGTTTCTATCATGTTATATGTTTGGCAACAGTTCTTCTAACCCACTAGATCACATAAAAGCTCTTAAGCAAAACTTCATGCACCTCTTGATGGAAATAAATGTTGTGATGTTATTTCTTATTATATTTTGGTGAGGATCTTGTATTGCCAAAGCAAGAGTCCATCTCTCTGTAAAGTCTCCTCCAGAACATCTCACACACTCTCAGTGAGTTTAAGATCTGGACTCATGTGTGGAAATGATTCTTCATGTTCCTCACAACCGTTCCTTCACAATCTGAGCCGGATGAATCTTCACTGTCATCCTGGAATATGAGCATGATGTGTTTCCTACATGTGTAAGAGATGAAGAGCTACACACTCCATCAGTTAGTGTTAGAAGAACTGTTGCCAAACATGCTAATAATCACTGCAATAATCATCCAGACTCTTAAGCATTTGCCTTTTTAAATCCAAACGGCCGGTTATTTTGGCCGAGCTGAAAATACACACAAACACACAGTTAGGTCAAATTCCTCAAAAGAATTGGGTCACGGTTTAAAGACCATGAGAAATGTGGGTCCCTTGGTCAAACCAGTTGAGAACCACTGGTCATAAATAATGTCAGCTATGACTAAGTGTATGATAAGGATGAATGACTGGTGTCAGTGTTTTTGTTCTGAGATAAACTCAACTTCTGTGAAACTGCTGAATGCCTGAGAAAAGAAGTGAGCTTGCGCTTTCTATGAACACACTCTTCACAGTTCCTGCTGTGAGTCATGGATCGTCACAGATAAACACAGATTAGATACTATTGACTCCTGAGTTCATGAACGCACCTTCCTGGTCATAATGTCCTTCTTTCTGCACACACGAGAATGAACAAAGAGTGAAGCGATTGAAAAATCTCCTGTCTGACGGAGAAATAAACTTTATGCCTCTATAAACTTACATACGGAAGCCCTGAACCGCAACGTAAAAAAAAAAAAAATCATTAAAAAAAATAAAAATAAAAATAACATTTCGAGATTAAAGTCGAAACATTTCGAGATTAAAGTCGAAACATTTCGAGATTAAAGTCGAAACATTTCGAGATTAAAGTCGAAACATTTCGAGATTAAAGTCGAAACATTTCGAGATTAAAGTCGAAACATTTCGAGATTAAAGTCGAAACATTTCGAGATTAAAGTCGAAACATTTCGAGATTAAAGTCGAAACATTTCGAGATTAAAGTCGAAACATTTCGAGATTAAAGTCGAAACATTTCGAGATTAAAGTCGAAACATTTCGAGATTAAAGTCGAAACATTTCGAGATTAAAGTCGAAACATTTCGAGATTAAAGTCGAAACATTTCGAGATTAAAGTCGAAACATTTCGAGATTAAAGTCGAAACATTACGATAATACAGTCTTCCATAGAAGTGTGTGCATTCGTAACAGTGCACGTCCACTGGCTCAGAGCGCGTGTGTGTGTGTGTGTGTGTGTGTGTGTGTGTTATCTGGGCTTTCAACAAAATTCTACACAGGTGCTAATCTACCAACAAGAATTACCATGGCGTTGCCTATAATAGACGAGCGCACAGACTCCGCCGGAGTATCACAATGGTCCACACTTTATGTGGCAGTGTTTTTGAGGTGTTTTCGTGCTCGTCTAGGCAACACTATCTGGTCGTGAACACAACAGTAACCGTTCTGTCTCCCTCTTCACTGTAAATACGTTCTGGATACATTTTATCATTCTGTATCCAATCATTTGGCCGGATCCCGTGATTTCCTCAGATTTAATAACCACTAAATGGTTGAGGAGAGATTCTCTGATATGATTGTAAAGCGCTTTGAGTGTAGCTATGAAAGCGCTATATAAATGCCTCATTCATTCATTCATTCATTCATAAAGCTGGATATCTCCATCCAGTCTGAAAAGTGTTTTCCGGGTTGGTTTTCCTATAGGCTAAAGTCTATTCCGGCGCAGTATATTTTATAACGTCCTATAATGGTAGCCTAATGCTGGTAGATTGGCACCTGTTGAATTTCCTTTTGTTGAAACAAAACACACACACACACACACACAGTGTGAAACACTCGCTATGCACCATTATGAATGCCTGTGTGTGCGGCAATGTGAAACAATGGCAAGCACACACGCAACTTCCACGGAAGACTGTATTCTCGTACTCTCGAAATGTTTCGACTTTAATCTCCAAATGTTTCGACTTTAATCTCCAAATGCTAGTTGTTTTTTTTACTGTTTTTTTTTTTACTGTTTTTTTTTTTTTTGCGGTTTCGACTTTAATCTCGAAATATTTTGACTTTAATCTTGAAATGCTAGTTTTTTGTTTTTGTTTTTGTTTGTTTTTTACTGATTTTTTTTTTGTTGTTTTTTTTCGTTGCGGTTCAGGGCTTCCGTACTTACAAGCCTCTCTATGCTAGTGAAATATTCATTTTCAGTCATTTTTATGCTCTTGACTTAATCTTTCATTTAGTTTAAAATGCTTTTTTGTTCTATTTTTTAAATAATTGTATTTATTCCACTAGTGTTTTTGATGGTTGTCTTACTTTCAGACTTGATTTTATGCTTCGCTTTACTCTTTTATTCTAACCAGAGGAGGATTTTGTGGCTCGACAATCACTTTTTTATTGCTCAGGAGACTTAAAGGAGCATTCGGCAACCGTAGCTATTTCTTTGCTGATTAAGGGCCAAGCACCGAAGGTGCGGAGGTACCGATTGTATTTGTTCCGGTTCTTATTATTCTTCCGTTTCTTTTTCTTCTTCCGACTGGGCGTCTATGGCAGCCCATAGAACCGTTTCCGGGAAAGTTGTTCCGGTTTGACATTCTGATAGAGGACAGTCCCAACAGTAATTGCACCAATTTTGGTGTCTCTAACTCATTCCCTCTAGCGCCACCACCTGTCCAAAGTTTCACTTCCATTATGCTAATAACTTTCAAACCGTAAGGCCTATCAACAAAATCCTCTGATTCCTGAGCTCATGACGATTCGATTGCACCCTATGACGTCATTTTCCGTCATAAAAATATGGCCGCCATTTTGAATTGTCCAAAACACCTACTTTTGCGAACTCGTTTGCGAAATCGTTTTTTTCCGATTTTCACCAAAATTGCACCAGATCATCTCCAGGCAGAAAGTTATGGAATTCAAGTCGATTCGCTTAACCGTTTTCGATAAACGCACAATCTAATTTTACGTAGCGCTTGCGAAAACAGACGTAAGGCTGTATCTCCACAACGCTTAATCGTATTCAGACCAAACTTGGTACATGTCATCACAAGCATGACCTGAGGCTACCTGCTGCGTTTCGGCGCAGCGCCACCTACTGGTCCGGAGATATGGAAAAATGGCTTTTTTCGCTCATAACTTCTGAACGGTTTGTACAAAAATCATAAAAGTGGTCTCGTTAGATTCAGGGCGTCATGTCGAGTCGACTGATATCCAATTTTCCCAGATCAGCCATTTTGGCTGTCGGCCATTTTGAATTATGTGCTAAAATGCTGTATTTTTTGAACGCATGAACGAATTGTTACGAAACTCGGTATGGGTCATCAGTACGATGCCCTGAAGGAGCTTGAGAAGTTTTGAAACAGCGCCACCTAGTGGTAAAAATTAATTTTCAAATGCTTAAAACTCTGGCTGTGGTTGACTTATTTACACGGGAGTCATCTCGTTGAGGTCCTGAATCCTTGCCGAGTCCAACGATACCAGATTTTCCAGGTTTCGGCATATGGTTTGTGCAGCGTTGTAATTTAGCGCTTAAAAAACATTTGCCGATATCTTCGAAACCGCTAGTCCGATCAAGACAAAACCACCGTCAGAAAATCGGAAACATAGGTCGCTGGCTTAATGCTAATGCCCAAATGACAAAATATTGATAGTAAGGGGTAGTAAAATTCAATCAAAGTCACGTGTCAGTCAATTTTGACGTGTTTTTTTCACATAAATGTCTATAACTCTGAAGCGCATTGAGATATTTTCACCAAATTTGGCACACACATGTATGGGCTCATTCTGAGGACACATGAACAAAATTGTGGGATTTTGCCTCTTGGTGGCGCTATAATAGAACAAAACGTGAAATTCCTATTGCCTTCAATACAGTTTTGTGATGTAAAATCCTATACTTAACAAATGCGTTGCTGTAACATTATGAAACTCAGAATTTGCCACCAGCACCATCCCCTGAAGCTACTCAAAAGATTTCGAGTAAGCGCCACCTGTTGGTCAAAAGTTAAATTACATTTCCAAAAATGCTAATAACTTTTGAATAAATATGCCTATTGTAATGACACTGGTCTTATTAGATTCCTTGGGTCATGCCGAGAACATAGATACCAAGTTTGACGTATTTGGACGAACTTCCTGTCCGCCATCTTTATTTATTTTTTTAAACATTCTTTTTCGAACTTCTCCAAGACCGTTGGTCCGATTTTGACCAAAATCGAATAGTGTCATCTCCAGCCCGTGCAGACTAAAAGTTATGGATTTCGTGACGAAAAGACGAAACCGTTTTCGTATACCACAGCATCAAAGTTGAGGCATGTTGCCAAAATGACTATTTAGGCTTTATCTTGCAATGCCTTCACATTTTCACACCAAACTTTGTATGTGTCATTGCCACCTCACTCTGGTCACAATGCATCGATTTCATAACTGCGCCACCTATTGGTTGAAAGTGATAAACCATTCAATCAATTTATTAGTTACTGTATATATAATTTTTAAGCCATTTTGCCTAAATTCATCTTTAAATGTCTTTAGTTGCTCCTTGCTGCTGTTGGTCTGAAACTCCCAGCCATGTTGGCATGTCTTGTCGTCTGCTTTTGCGCTTGGCCCCGTAATGGCTGCTTGCAGCTATATTTTTCAACTTTTATTGTCGCATTTGTTTTCTCAGCGAGCTCCCCCTACAGCTGTGAGGCGTATATTTCACAACAATGTTGTAAAAAAAACTGACTTGCGGCCCCTCATGCCCCTTTCTACCGCTGCTCATGTGCATTTGTTATTATCGGAACCGGCCAACTTTATCGTGTGGAGCTGTGTCTACCGAGGTGGGTAATACATCATACACACTGAGGGCGGCGTGTGTGTTTGTTGAATTGCCGTAAAGCAGTTTGTGTTTCTCGCTCGTTCTCGCTTCTCACGAGACTTCCTATTTCCAACTTACCAGGACGTTAATCCTCATGTTGCAAGGTTGGTTTTCCATCTGGGAACGTTGGGGGGAGCGGGGGAAGTCACCATTCTCACCAGAACAGGTTATTAAACCATCCAAATGATTTCTAAACGGTTTTATTAAGTTGAAATAGTTGCCGAATGCCACTTTAAGTTAAATTTGTATCTCACAAATCTGACTTTATAACTTTATCACTGTATATCTCTTCAGAATTGTCTGATAAAAAGGCGCAATTATCTTTTTCTTTTTTTTTATTCCCTCGCGAAAACAAGCTTCCAAACATTTAACCCCCAAATCAAAAGAAAGCAATAATTATATTTTACTTTTTTTTTTTTTTTTTACTTTTTTTGTATTGTGTCGTCAATGTAAATTTCATACAAGATACTAAAATAGACTTAATTTATGTTTTCAAAATATTTATTATTTCTTTGTTTTGGCGTGAAATTTCTTCACAGTTTTTGTTGATTATCTGAGAAGCAGGAAACAAGTTTAAAAAAAAAAGTTGCAAATAAAATGATCATCAGAGTACGTTTTACAAGAAAATTCCATTTCAATATTTCGAATTCAGATTTTCATGTTTAATTCGACGTATTACTTGCCATTTCTTTGTAATTATTTGTCAAATTTACTAGCAATGACTGATTTTTTCAGTGCTTTAGAGAGATCTCAGATGTACTTTTTCTTTCCTACACTGTCAGAAAAAATCTCTAAAAGCTGCATTTTAGTACCTTACAGTAGTAATATAGACTTTCCTTAAAGTGTTGTGCCCCCTAACACATGTTGTCCCCGTAATGCTATGAGTTTGGTGAGTGTGTGACGTGTCTCCTCTGGTCTCAGGTGATTTCGCGATCCTGCTGCACTGTGGTGTGTCTGTGAAGCGAGCTCTTCTGCTGAACATCGGGAGCTCTCTCACCTCCTTCATCGGCCTGTACATCGCGCTGTCCGTCTCCACAGAAACCGCGGCTATCGAGTGGATCTCGGCGGTCACCGCTGGACTCTTTCTGTACGTCGGTCTGGCAGACATGGTACGTTACCATCTACTACAGTCTCAGTGTCTCCTCTTCACATGCAGCATTAGCCGAGTCATTGAAAGCTCCATGTGTTGTGACTTTACATTTCTCTAATGCATTATTTCAGTGTTAACAGAGACTCACAAAACCCTTCTCCTCTCGTTTGTCTCGTGTAGCTTCCCTCGCTGGTCCATGTGGACAGTAAAAGACCGTGGCTGGTTTTTCTCCTGCAGAATCTGGGACTTTTAAGCGGCTGGGGCATTTTATTGCTTTTGTCCTTATATGAAGACCAGATAGGGCTCTAAATATGATGCATCAGGTTTTATTTGTGCCTTATTCCTGTATATCTGTCCGCAGAAACTACATATTAAACATGTGCAATGTGTGCCCGTATGTGTCTTCATATATGGAGTATCGGTAACACTTTATAATAAGGTCTCATTAGTAACATGAATTAATGCATTCAATAAGATTAACTAAAAAAAGAGAAATAGTGATGGAAATACAATTGTCCATTAATAGTTCATATTAGCTTAGGCCCATTAAATAATATTAACAGATAATAATGTAATAGTACAATAATCAATGTTTTATAAGTATTTTTCATTGTTAGTTCATGTTAACTAATATTATGACGTTTATTGTAAAGTGTCACCTAAATATGTTTAGTATTTTTAGATCACATTTGGATGGAAAAGCACAGAAAACTTTTGCACATTTTCAGAATCTTTTTTAATTTTGTCATTCATTGTTCATCAATATGAATCATAAATTCACGGATGAGATATTCAACCTTTAATGTAGCTACTTTCTTTGAATTTAAATTCTGTATTTTTATTAGTAAATACTTATAGGGTATTTCTGTAATTAATTTTTGCATTAGTATTTTTAAAGTAAAATATCAGCCAAAGACACTTTTGAAGCATAATAGTATTATGTTTAAATTCTGCATGAATGATGGTCATACTTTAGATTAGGATCCAATTCTCACTATTAACTATGACTTTTGCTTTAATAAACTCCTAATTACTGCTTATTAATAGTTAGTAAGGTGGTTGTTAATTTTAGGTATTGTGTGATTAAGGGATGTAGAATATGGTCATGCAGAATAAGACATTAATTTGTGCTTTATAAGTATTAATGAAGAACTAATGTTCTAGTAATATTCATGTTAATAAGCAACTAATTGAGAGCGAGAACTGGACTTTAGTTTAAAGTGTTTTTCGAATGAGGTTTATGAATAAAAATTGTCATTATTCACTGCTATAAATTAAACAGGTTGCATTTAAATCATAATTTAAATCAAATATGACACGACATGTCAAGACTCATCATATATATTTAAATGACTATGGTGAATATACTTTAATGAAACTTTTTGTGTACATCAGTTTCCAGTGTTCATTCCCTTTCATTTTCATTGAAAGAAAAACAATCAGCATGAACATCCCCTTTTCCTTTTAAACTGCCTTTAAGGATTTATGTTTTAAAGTAATAATAGCTGTAAATAAATCCAAACAAATATGAAATGTCTTATTTGTCTCCCAGAGGTCATTCACTACAGTAGATATCACAATCTCACTCGCAGCGCATTAGTTATGCAAGCCGTGAGGAGTCTACTCAGCTGTGTGTGTGTGTGTGTGTGTGTGTGTGTGTGTGTGTGTGTGTGTGTGTGTGTGTGTGTGTGTGTGTGTGTGTGTGTGTGTGTGTGTGTGTGTGTGTGTGTGTGTGTGTGTGTGTGTGTGTGTGTGTGTGTGTGTGTGTGTGTGTGTGTGTGTGTGTGTGTGTGTGTGTGTGTGTGTGTGTGTGTGTGTGTGTGTGTGTGTGTGTGTGTGTGTGTGTGTGTGTGTGTGTGTGTGTGTGTCTGTGTCTGTGTGTGTGGTGACATGTCACTGGTGATGTTGTCCTCAGGTCAAACTCTAAATCGCTGGTTCACAGGGTTTATCTGACATTATCGACCAGAACCACGCCTCAAGACAAGCTCAGCATAACCACAGGACTATTACAGGTTAAAATAACCTTTACTTTATTGGTTATTTATGGATAGAGACAGAGAGATGGATGGATAGAGACAGAGGGATGGATGGATAGAGATGGATGGATGGATAGAGATAGATGGATGGATAGATGGATGGATAGAGATAGATGGATGGATGGATAGAGACGGATGGATGGATGGATAGAGACGGATGGATGGATAGAGATAGATGGATGGATGGATGGATGGATAGAGACAGAGGGATGGATAGAGACGGATGGATGGATGGATAGAGATAGATGGATGGATGGATAGAGACGGATGGATGGATAGATGGATGGATAGAGATAGATGGATGGATGGATGGATGGATGGATGGAGATAGAGGGATGGATGGATAGAGATAGAGGGATGGATGGATAGAGACGGATGGATGGATAGAGATAGATGGATGGATGGATAGAGACGGATGGATGGATAGATGGATGGATAGAGATAGATGGATGGATGGATAGAGACAGAGGGATTTATGGATAGAGACGGATGGATGGATGGATAGAGACGGATGGATGGATAGAGATAGATGGATGGATGGATGGATAGAGACGGATGGATGGATGAATGGATAGAGACAGAGGGATGGATGGATAGAGACGGATGGATGGATGAATGGATAGAGACGGATGGATGGATGGATAGAGATAGATGGATGGATGGATAGAGACGGATGGATGGATAGATGGATGGATAGAGATAGATGGATGGATGGATGGATAGAGACAGAGGGATGGATGGATAGAGATAGAGGGATGGATGGATAGAGATGGATGGATGGATGGATGGATAGAGACAGAGGGATGGATGGATGGATGGATAGATAGAGATAGAGGGATGGATGGATGGATAGAGACGGATGGATGGATGGATGGAGATAGAGGGATGGATGGATGGATAGAGACGGATGGATGGATGGATGGATGGATAGAGATAGATGGATGGATGGATAGAGACGGATGGATGGATAGATGGATGGATAGAGATAGATGGATGGATGGATGGATGGATGGATAGAGACAGAGGGATGGATGGATAGAGATAGAGGGATGGATGGATAGAGACGGATGGATGGATGAATGGATAGAGACAGAGGGATGGAGAGATGGATGGATAGAGATAGAGGGATGGATGGATAGAGACGGGGATGGATAGATAGAGATAGAGGGATGGATGGATGGATGGATAGAGACAGATGGATGGATGGATGGAGATAGAGGGATGGATGGATAGAGACGGGGATGGATAGATAGAGATAGAGGGATGGATGGATGGATGGATAGAGACAGATGGATGGATGGATGGAGATAGAGGGATGGATGGATGGATAGAGACAGAGGGATGGATGGATAGAGATAGAGGGATGGATGGATAGAGACGGATGGATGGATGGATGGATAGAGACAGAGGGATGGATGGATGGATGGATAGATAGAGATAGAGGGATGGATGGATGGATAGAGAGACAGAGGGATGGATGGATGGATGGATAGAGATAGAGGGATGGATGGATGGATGGATAGAGACGGGGATGGATAGATAGAGATAGAGGGATGGATGGATGGATAGAGACAGAGGGATGGATGGATGGATGGATGGATAGAGACAGAGGGATGGATGGAGATAGAGGGATGGATGGATGGATAGAGACAGAGGGATGGATGGATGGATGGATAGAGACAGAGGGATGGATGGATAGAGATAGAGGGATGGATGGATGGATGGATAGAGACAGAGGGATGGATGGATAGAGACAGAGGGATGGATGGATGGATGGATAGAGACAGAGGGATGGATGGATAGAGATAGAGGGATGGATGGATGGATAGAGACAGAGGGATGGATGGAGATAGAGGGATGGATGGATGGATAGAGACAGAGGGATGGATGGATGGATGGATAGAGATAGAGGGATGGATGGATAGAGATAGAGGGATGGATGGATGGATAGAGACAGAGGGATGTATGGATGGATGGATAGAGATAGAGGGATGGATGGATAGAGATAGAGGGATGGATGGATGGATAGAGACGGGGATGGATAGATAGAGATAGAGGCATGGTTCGAATTACGTGGGAGCCAGTGGGAGCTGAGCTCCCATAGAGAGAGGATGAGCTCCCATGAAAGCAGTAAAATCATACACCTGTGGGGGTCTCTAAAAATCATCAGCACCATTATTTTAAATTACAAATAAAGCACTTTTTCCTTCATTATATCGAGGCATATTTATTAACCCTTTCGCACGTACCGGTGTGATCAGTCTTGGCGGGTCCCTGGAGCGTACGATCACACCGGTGTGATTAGAACGGTCGGTGCATCACGTGATCAACTGCTAAATTCAAACGTGCTTTCGCGCGTTGGCTGGCGCTGAGCCAGAGACGGACGCGCTCAGTGCTGTCATATATCACAACTATTCAGTGTTTTCAACCACATAATGTTTATTTTAGGTTTCAGACAATAAGTAGCCTACTAGCAAAAAAATTATTTTGGGGGACGCTACTAGTCCCAATCAATTTCCTGCATATAGAAGTACGAGGCAGCCGCCTCTGGCTCTCGACAAAACTCGGATAGACAGTCACATGCAGATACACTTTTTCCACCGTGACGGTTCTGTTGCGGGTTCCCGGCCTGTGCCCATTCTCAAACCGTAGTTTGCCGATATGCTGCGCGGATCATAATCTGCGGGTCGGGCGAGCCAAATAATAAAAACATTACATTTTTGAGGGTGAATGACAGATAAATCATTATAATGTGTTGATTTGAATAAAGACACGGAACTCTCGAATGGTAAAACACAATGAGCGTCACTCTTTTACTTTCGTTTTCAACAACGTAATTCTCTTTAGAGAAAACCAATCAAGGAAAACATATCAGGGCATTCAGATATCTAAATCAAAGAATATCATAGGTTTGGGGGGTTGGATTTTTAACAGCGGATTCGGGTGACTCAAATTGCACCAGATTAATGAATTTATCTTTAAAATGTACAAAATTTTCTTCCTGGGGGGGCATGCCCCCAGACCCCCCTAGAGGTAGCCTACCGAACTCCACCCACAAATACTGTGGGAAACACAATAGGCTATAATGATGGTCTATGAAAAATACTAATTAAATGATCTTATTATTAAAATACATGATAAGGATTTTACAGAATGAGACTAGACTAGGGGAAGATGTTCTAAAATTTGGTTTGTATGATCTTGCCCTGTTCTTGACAGTATGTGTGTGTTAAGTGGAATTATCCTCCTTTCTGACTTTTCACATTATTTCACCATGCATGGGCGTATTTTTTGTCATGTTATACCACGGTTGCTGCTTGTGAATTAAATACCAAAGGATACCACTTTGAAGA